AGTCCCTATGGCCAAGCAGCACCAGCTAATCAACCAGGTTCCTGGCCAGATGGCATGATGTCCATGGAACAAGGGCCCCATGTGCCTCAAAATAGGTGAGCCTTTATTTTGTGACTCTGAAGAAGATCCACATTGGATTATCTAGAAAAGAGTCAACATTGGAACAATTCTGAGAGAGAAGGTGAAAAATTCTCTTAAGTAAGGTGGTTGGTTGCCATCCATTTGAAGTAGCAAGCAGAGCCGGAAGTGCCCTGTCCTGCTGTCAGGACTTCTCAGCAGTCAGACTTCTGAGAGCCTCTCTGTGAGGTGATTGTCTTTCATAATGATAATYTCATGAGGAGGGGGATAAATTAGCCACAGTTTGACAAGATAAATCTGTTTTTACATAGTGTTCAGAGAGTAAGCCTCAAGTTTTTCTGAAAATTGATTTTTAAGCAATGGCTAATGATTTTTCTAAAACATTTCAGGGATAATGGCAAACTGAACTACTGTGCTCTTCTATAGTTTTGTAAAAGAAAGATGTGGCTTACTTAATGCCTGACTTCATGCCCTCCACGTGCTGGATAATAGTCACACACCTCACTGTGGGGGTGTGGGCTTGTGTCATACTTCTGACCAAGCCTTGTGGGCAAGTATAACGAAGTTATCTTGGCAGTTCTCTACACCATAGTTATATAGATCAATATTTTGATCTTTTCCTTTGTTGTTTATTGATTTCCTCAGTTTTCTTTTCATTTTTTTGTTTTGATTCCCCTAATTTTCAAGTATCATTACTGATGACTACCACCTCCACTCTTAACTTGAAAACTGCTCCCTCTCCATTCTCTCCAACCCCTCTCACCCCATTTCTCCTATCTCCCAAATACCTAGGGTTTTGCAGTTTCACTTGGGTGGTGGGATTGTGGGTATAAGATATATGTGGTGGGGGCTAGGGATATAGCTCAGTTGCCTTGTACGCACAAGGCCCTGGGTTCAGTCCCCAGTACCACACACATGAGCGCATGCACACACACACACACACACACACACACACAAAAGATATATGTGGTGGGCCTTAAATATAAATTGAGGCCATTTGCTGTTCTCTATTGCTTGGTTTATTTGTACTTGTAGTATATGGGAGTTATTATATGTTAAAATATATTGAAATATTATGCATGGTTAGTATAATTATTTTTATTTTATTTTTTTTTGTGGTGCTGGGGATTGAACCCAGGGCCTTGTACATGCGAGGCAAGCACTCTACCTACTGAGTTATATCCCCAGCCCTACTGTTGTTGTTGTTGTTCTTAGTATTATTATTATTATTGGTACTGGGGATTGAACTCAGAGACTCTCAACCACTGAGCCACATCCCCAGCCCTATTTTGTATTTTATTTAGAGACAGGGTCTCACTGAGTTGCTTAGTGCCTTGCTTTTTGCTGAGGCTGCCTCAGCCTTCCAAGCCTCTGGGATTACAGGTGTGCGCCACCATACCTGGCCCCACTGTCATTATTTTTTTTTATTTTTTTATTAAGAGAGAGTGAGAGAGGAGAGTGAGAGAGGAGAGAGAGAGAGAGAGAGAATTTTTTAATATTTATTTTTTAGTTTTTGGCGGACACAACATCTTTGTTGGTATGTGGTGCTGAGGATCAAACCCGGGCCGCACGCATGCCAGGCGAGCGCCCTACCGCTTGAGCCACATCCCCAGCCCCCACTGTCATTATTTTTAAAAATAGAAATAACACCTTTAATATGGTTTGTGTTCTGGGGATCAAACCCAGGACTGAAAACATACTGAACAAGTGCTCTACTACTGTGCTACACCTCCCGCCCAACAACATTAAAATTGATTGCAAGTCTTTTTCTAGACCTCTTCTCAGGAATTCCCTGGATGATCTCCTTGGGCCACCTTCTAACCCAGAAGGCCAGAGTGATGAGAGAGCATTGTTGGACCAGCTACACACACTCCTGAGTAATACAGATGCCACAGGCCTGGAGGAAATTGACAGAGCTTTGGGTATCCCTGAACTTGTAAATCAGGTAAGTTGCATTAATAAGGAAATAGGAGAGTGCGTGTGGTGCACACACATGAAGCCAAGCACAGGAATGCTTGTGTCTTTCTTACTACTTTTGTTACATTACTATATGTGTGGATAGCAGCATTAAATTTAGAATATGTACTTTATGATTGTATTGTTATTTCTAACAACCTGCTTTTTWAAAAAAATTTACATTTTAGACAACTATAGAAATGATCCAATAAAACTACTATATAGGGCTGGGGTTGTGGCTCAGTGGCAGAGCACTTGCCTAGTATGTGTGAGGCACTGGGTTTGATTCTTAGCACCACATATAAATAAAATAAAGGTCCATCAACAACTTAAAAGAAAAACCCTACTATATGGTTTTTTAGATGCTACTTGTAGTCAGTCTCTTGCTGTCTCTTGCTCTCTCTCTTTCACCATTGATTGAACCTAGGGGCAGTTAACCACTGAGTCACATCTCCAGCACTTTTTATTTTGTGACAGGGTTTTGCTAAGTTGCTTAAGGCCTTGCCAAATTGCTGAGGCTGGCAGGGAACTTGCGATCATTCTGCCTTGGCCTCCCGACTTGCCAGGATTGCAGGCGTGTGCCTTCATGCCCAGCCAAAAGGTCTCATTTTTACACCCACTTTTCTTCTCAACTTAGCTAACCAGTGAGTACGCTGAGAAGCAAGCTGTCTTTATGTTGGTTGTACAGAATACATTTGCAGTGGTAAACCATGAGTCTTCCAACATCATCCTCTCCTATTCCTTTTTACATACCTGACCGTATGAAAATATGCCATTCACAAATCTGTTTTTGAAACAAGCAAATTTTGTAGTGACTATTTTTATTTTAAAAGGTATCTGTGCATTTAAGAATAAGCAGGAGACCTCAGGGCATTCTCATTCTTTTGTCAGGGAGACAGATTTGTACATAAGGAATTGAACGATAATGTTGGAAACACTGTCAGAAACTTTTATTTTTTTAATTTTTTAAAATTTTTGTACTGATGATCTAACCTAGAGGTGCTTTATCACTGAACTAGATTCCCAGCCCTATCTATCTATCTATCTATCTTTCTTTTTTAAAAAATTTTTAATATTTATTTTTTTTAGTTCTCGGTGGACACAACATCTTTGTTTGTGTGTGGTGCTGAGGATCGAACCYGGGCCGCAGGCATGCCAGGCGAGCGCGCTACCGCTTGAGCCATTTCCCCAGCCCCTCTATCTATCTATCTTTATGTGGTGTTGGGGCTCGAACCAAGTACTCTCACATGCTAGGCGACCGCTGTACCGCTRAGCCCCAGCCCCGGTCCCACCCTATTTATATATATATATATATTATTGTGGTGCAGGGGATTGAACCCAGAGCCTTGTGCATGCAAGGAAAGCACTCTACCAACTGAGCTATATCCCCAGCCCACCTTTTTATATTTTGAGACAAGGTCTTACTAAGTTACTGAGGCTGGCCTTGAGCTCAAGATCCTCCTCAGCTTTTCCAGTAACTGGGATTGCAGGTATGGTCACCATGCCTGGCTTACAGAACTTTTAAAAAGGTGAATGGAAAACACTGAGCAGTTGTAACATTACGCTTCCAGGGATATCAATGACATCTGATTCTGACACTGAAGAGCATGTCAAACTTCGACTAGGGGTATATGAGTGATACCCAGAGATCAAGAAGCTTGAGCCAGGCATGGTGATGCATACCTGTAATTGCAGTGGCTTGGGAGGCCGAGGCAGAAGGATTATGAGTGCAAAGATAGCCTCAGCAACTTGGTGAGGCCCTAAGCAACTCAGTGAGACCCTTTCTCTAAATAAAATATGAAAAAAGGGTTGTGGATGTATGGCTCAGTGGTTAAGTGCCCCTGGGTTCAATTACTAGCACCCCTGCCCCTGCAAAAAGCTGGAACTGTCATTTAAAATGGTAATTTAAATTGGAAATTGCTTTCTTTGTCCTGATGTTGAAATTAGTGATTGGTAAGTAAAATTTTGATAATTGCAAAAAGTATGTTGAGAAAAGCTAATAGTGGCACAGGGAGAATCATTAGTAACTTGCTGGCTTATAGTGCTTTCAGATTTTAAAAAGGTATACATGAAAATATTCATGAGTGTACATTTTTTTTAAAATGAGAGACTTCAAAATGCTTTTGTAATCAGTTTTGCTTTATGAAAAGCATCATTGTCAGTCATATTTTTAACATATACATCTTTAATTTTAATGGCCAAATTTAAACATTTTGAACACTATTTAATCAGTCTTCTGTCAGTGAAATATTAAATTGTTCTTAGTATTCTATATCATAAATAATTCTGTGAATTACCCAGTTCTCATTCACTGATTCTACTTCCTTAGTTACAGTCTAAGAAAGGATTAGTGGGTAAGAGACTACATATTTTAAAGGTTTTGCTCCTTATTTTCAGGTTGCTTTATAGCAGACGATACTAGCTCCTTTCCTCTAACAGTGTGATAGGAGTTCTTCATCAGTACTCTGCTGGTGTGGCTCTGATAGGTGAAGGAACACAGTATGAGCAAGTGACTAAACAAATACTGAGCATGATTACTATGATTTTTTTTATTATATTTTATAGTGTAGGCAATCAAACCCCAGGCCTCTTACATGCTAGGCAAGTGCTCTACCACTGAGCTATACCCCTAAACTATGATTATTTTCTTAAATCTTTGCCAGTCTGATAAGATAAAAAAGGATTGTTTTAAATTGTAATTCTTCGTTTTGCAAGATGAAATATCTTTTCTGTTTATTGGCCATTGTGTATGTGTTTTCATAGTTTTTGGCTAGGTTTTTAACTTGTTGATTTACAAGAGTTCTTTATGCAATACTCTTTACCTGACTCACAGTGGGGGAGCTCTCAATTTTTTTTTGACTTTTGATGGTGCAAAGGCAATGTGCGTTCATTAGAAACTGAATTCTGATCTTTTTCCAAACTAGGGATATGTGGTGTGATACTCAGAATGGTGGGCAGGAAATGTTGCAGTTTGCTTTAGTTCCCTCTTTGGTGAGGGCTGATTTTAATTTTGTTATTTAGTTTGTTTTCAAATTCAGAGTAGCTCTTTTTGGGCAGTGACATTCAAATTGACACCTGATCGATAAGAAGGAACCAGTTGTGCAAAGTGCTACAGGAAGAGCATCCAGAAGAGGAACAGCAAGTTCAGAAGTCCTTTGGCAGTCAAGAACTTGGGGTTTCAGAAAGGGACTGAAAGTAGGATCAGAGAGGAAGTGATGATGATGGAGAGGCAGGAGGTGCCAGGTTCCATAAAGCCAGGAAGGGGTCTGGGAACGCTCTGCTGCATGGCAAAGCCAGGAAAGCCTTGTAAGCAGGGTGGTGATGAGACCTGCTTTCCTTGTTTATTTTCCTAAAAATAAAAATTAATTAAAAGAATCTACATTTGTAACTTAAAAATATAATTATATGTRTATAAGTATATGTACACAGTTTACTTGCCCTCTTCTGAAGTTGTACAAACTTACTTCTTTATTTTGTCATCTTTCTTAGTAACATATTTTTGCAGCTATTTCTTTATTAACTTCAATCTGTGTCTTTTGAATTCCTGATGTCACAGTGATTACGTACTCATAGCCCCTTAACTGAGAATCTTGGGGTCAAATATGCTTTGGAATTCAGGAATGTGTGGATTTTAGAAAGAGCATATATACCCGGTATTGCATGCTCTGACTTCTGGTGGAGTTTTGAGTAATAGTGTTGTTTTGGGCAGTTGTTTGTGACCAAACAGGCTAATCCATCTGTGGAAAAATATAGAATTAATTAGTTACACTAAATGTGAAGATAGATGTATTATTGCAATGTAAGTTTAGTTCAGGTTTTACTGTGTATGTTTTTTGTTTGTTGTTGTTTGTTGTGTTGGGGATCCCCCCACCCACCACCTTTACACTTTCTTTTTAATTGGAAATCTTTTATTGTCCATTGCATTTGGTAGCTGGACTAGGAGGCCAGTGGATGATCTTATAGTATATAAAATTTATTACAAAGTACAAATAGGAAAATAGAACTAAGTTCCTGTTTTCAGCCTCTGCTTCCCCCTGCCCTTTGTTGTGCTTGTGTCCCTGAACCCAGCCCTGGGTGGGGTGGGGGGGGGGCTGCGTGGCGGGTAGAAGAAAGAACCACTTGAGGAGTGTAGGGATAGGCAGGGAGGAGCTGATCCCCTCATCTATACCAGGCTCCTAAGCAGCTGCCTGTTTGAACTGTCTCATCCTCTCTAATGCCTGGTAGAGTCTCCGTTTGTTCCTGGGCTTCTCATGCTCACTGTTTTTCCTCTTTAGGCACGTTAGGTCCAAAAACCTGTTGAAATATTTGGTTACGTTGTTTCCTTATTTTGTGGCTAAATGTGACCTCTCAAATTCTTCAGTGCCATTTTAGTAGAGTTAGCAGGACAAAGGTGTTGATTTCAAGTGTGATTTACTTAATTAAGAGACATCTGGTGTCTTTCCAGAGAAGGGAGCCGGTCTAATGGGACAGAGTAGAAGCACCGTTGTCGGGTACTGCAACGCTTCTAAAAAGTATTGGAAAAGGTCTGCACAAAGGAATGTAGAGGAAGGGCTGGGGCTGGGGCTCAGGGGCAGAGCGCTTGCCTAGCATGTGTGAGGCGCTGGGTTCGATTCTCAGCACCACATATACATAAATAAAATAAAGGTCCATTGTCAACTAAAAAGTATTTAAAAAAATAGGGGGGGGATGTAGAGGAGGAAGGACATATAACATGCTGTCAAGGAAAAGTGGACAGGATTTGGTAGACTGTGTGGAGAGGAGGACTGAGGAATCCAGGTTGGTGGTTTGGAGTTCCAGGGTGGTGCATGGTCACACGATGCATTGTGATGGAGGGAAGGTTTAAGGAAACTATGTTGCTTTAGGGAAAGGGCTAGTTGTGGGCAGCATGACTTCTATTTTCTGCATGTTAGATTTGAGATGCCTGAAGCATCTGTGTAAAGATGTTAAGTATATATTTGCATAACTATTTGGAGGTGTTGGGTAAGTATTATTAAATGTTTGGAGGTGTTGGGCTGGAAACAAAAATTTGATGGTTTTCTTCAGTGGCTGAGAGCACCTAGGTAAGAAGTGTATGAAGAGCAGAGGACACAGGGACAGGACCCCGGAGGAGTGCTAGGAGTTCACCAAAGAAAGGCCAGGGAGTGGAGGAGAACAAGGGCCGCATTGTAGGGTATAGTGGGCCTGGCTGTGCTTAAGCTGAGGCTTGTCAAGGCTGTTGGCTGCAGGTTAGGCCTTCTGTGTCCTTGAAAAGATGAAGGTGTGTGTGGTGCCTGATGGGCTTTTCTGCCCCTGCTCGGCATGCTGACCCTTCAGAATGATTTTTACTTTTCCTATCACATGCTGGATATCGTTTTGTTCATGTGCTTAGGATATTGAGAAGTGTTGACTGGCACTTAACAAATATTTAATAAATACTTGAACAGATGGGCCTCTGCCAACCCCAGTAGTGATGGTTAGGTTTTAAGGGCATAAGTGTTTTTTGATTTTCATCTGCCATTACCAAAATTACCACATTACCTTCAAAAATATTTCTGAACAAATTACAWGGGGAGTCATTGATGAGTGATTTTTTTTTTTTTAAGTATTTAAAACATTGTGGCTCTTTGACTAAAAATGTTTGAGTGTGGATTGGTGTGAAATTGTTAGGTCCTAGGATACAGTCCCGGCAAGAGGGGGTATAGTTTGTATTCTCATAGAACTTTAGACAATAAGAGCAAACTTGACTTTGCTTTTAGAATTCTGAAACATGTTGGCTTTATTTTTCACCTTCTTGAGAGCATTTGATTTTGGTGGCTTTCCCAGGTGTAATTCATTGTTATATGTCTGTTTAAGGGACAAGCTTTGGAGCCCAAACAAGATGCCTTCCAAGGCCAAGAAGCAGCAGTACTGATGGATCAGAAGGCAGCTTTGTATGGGCAGACATATCCAGCACAGGGGCCTCCGATGCAAGGAGGCTTTAATCTTCAGGGACAATCGCCGTCTTTTAACTCTATGATGACTCAGATGAACCAGCAAGGCAGTTTCCCTCTCCAAGGAATGCACCCCAGGGCCAACATCATGAGACCCCGGACAAACACTCCCAAGCAACTTAGAATGCAGCTTCAGCAGAGGCTGCAGGGCCAGCAGGTAATCAGTCTATGCTTGGCTTCAGCCCCAAGTGGCTTTCCTTTGGCCTCACCTTGTTTAATTTGTTTTCAGGCTTTGTCCTCAGAATTCTTTTTTTTTTTTTTTTTTTTTTTAAAGAGAGAGTGAGAGAGGGAGAGAGAGAGAGAGAGAGAGAGAGAGAGAGAGAGAGAGAGAGAGAGAGAGAGAGAAATTTTTTAATATTTATTTTTTAGATCTCGGCGGACACAACATCTTTGTTGGTATGTGGTGCTGAGGATCGAACCCGGGCCACACGCATGCCAGGCGAGCGCACTACCGCTTGAGCCACATCCCCAGCCCTTGTCCTCAGAATTCTTACCCTGGCTTTCTGACCTTCACCAACTAGGGAAATGACCTTGGTTTCACTTTTTTTTTTTTTTTTTGTAAGATTATATTTGTGCAGATGGCTCCTTGTTAAGGAGCGATTCTGTTAGAATTGAATGCATTTCCATTGTATAGGTTAAAGAGTAAAAATGTCAGAAATGATTGCTGTTGGGGCGGTGCTTCTTAATGTCTTTGTAGCCTAATAGATCCTTTTTAAAACATTTTAAGACCTATAATACTAAAACCCAAAAACCTTCTTAATTTCATCATTTTTTAAATAGAACCCATGCTTCTAGATGTCTATAAAACTGGAGCTCTCTTAGAGAATTCCAAGAGAGAACTTTGGTTTTCCCATTGTTTCCTCAGTCACCAACTAATGGGAGTTCTGTTGTGTCCCCTCATCCCCAGTACTGGGAACTGAACCCAGGAACACTCCACCACCAAGCTTCATCTCTCCTCTCCTCCTGTTTTTTGTTAATTTTGAGACAGAGTCTTCCTAAGTTGCTGTAGATCTTGCTAAGTTACCCAGGCTGGAAATGACCTTCTTGCAATCCTTCTGCCTCAGCCTCCTGAGTTGCTTGGATTATTGATGTGTGCAACCGCACCTGATTCTCTAATCATTTAAAAATATAATTATTTCTATAAAGCTTGTGTCTTAAAGTGCTGAGTTATTAAATGTGGTGGAACTAAACCATATAAATAGGTAATATTTCTAAGTTCAGGAGTTCATATGGTATCATTTTTGCCCCCTCCCCCTTTGGGAACCAGGTATTGAACTCCAGGGCACTTAACCACTGAGCCACAAACCCAGCACCCCTACCTCCCTTTAATAGCTTTATTTTATTCATTTTATTTTTATGTGGTGCTGAGGATTGAACCCAAGGCCTCACACACTCTACCACTAAGCCACAACCCCAGTCCCTTCCCAGAACCTTTTAAACACTAATTATCATTTATTTTGAGACAGGGTTTCCCTAAGTTTCTTAGAGCCTCACTAAGTTGCTGAGGCTGATCATTTTGCTTTTTATGATTTCTTTCCATTACAAGGTACTTAGACTGGGTGTGGTGGCTCACGCCTGTAATCCCAGCAGCTCTTGAGGCCGGATAGGAGGATCGTGAATTCAAAGCAAGCCTCAGCAGTGGCAAAGCGCTACGCAACTCAGTGAGACCCTGTCTCTAAGTAAAATACAAAAAAAGAGCTGGGGATGTGGCTCAGTGGTTGAGTGCCCTCAAGTTCAATCCCTGGTAACCCCACCCCACCACCAAAAAAAGAAGGTGCTTAGGATAAGATACTGGAGGAGGAATTTATTCAGTATTACTCTGACCAAGTTAAAGCTCTTTCCTCAGGTGCCTCAGTAATCCCTGGGAAAACCTGATATAAATCCTGAGTTCCTGTTAGAGGTGCTCTTTAAACTGCACATTTGTGCTTCTCTCTCCCAGTGCCGGGTGGTAAAGATTCACAGGCCAGGCAAGAACTTTTTAGCATTAATTTTTTTGCAGTGTGAAAGTAGTATGAGCTCAGTTCAGATGTGACTTAACCAGAACAGTGGGTTTGCAGTTATCCCCGTGACCTCACTGGGTGGTGCTGAGGGTCTGAAACCCTGGGGCTCATCACCCTTTCCTTGTGCATGCTAACCACCAGTCTCTTCTCAGTTCTTGAATCAGAGCCGGCAGGTGCTTGAAATGAAAATGGAAAACTCCGCTGCTGCTGCTGCTGCCGCTGCCGCCGCAGCAATCAGGCCCATGATGCAGCCCCAGGTGAGCTCCCTGGGAGGACGAGCCACTTCCCAGCACAGGCTAGCTCATGCTGGCTCTCAGTGTTCCTTAAGCAATGAGAGTAATTTTGGTTTTCTTGCAGAAGAATCCATTCCACAGTTCCATTTCAGTTTTTCCTTTTTTCATTCTTAACTCTTCTGACTTGTTGGTGATGGGAGAAATGAGGAGAGTGGATTACCTTAAAAACCATTGATGAATTGTTTTGTTTTTTAAACCAAATTTCCCTTGTGATCAATTGCTGTTTTTTTTTGAGAGAAACTATCAGTTAGCTAGAAGTAACCCATGAATGTTTCTGTTCTTGGATTATGAAACCACATACTCACTGGGTAAGAAGATACCCTGTTTCCCTTGCTGAGGAGAAAATTCCTCTGTACCTCCAGCAGGAGTAGAGGCAGCATTAAGGTGTTCTCTTAATGTGAGGTAGATGTATGACAGTCCTTTACTGTGGTTGCAAGTACTACTCATATATATTTTTAAAATTGAAATGCCTAATTTTCAACATCTTTTGCCTACTTGGAAGTACTGATACTTATATTTTCTTGATAATCAGTGTCCTGTATAAGTTGAGCTAGGTTGCCTTCCAAATAAATGATAAAAGTTGGCCTTTTGGAGATGATTTTTATCAGTTGGTAGAGCTTAAATCAATACCTTAGTTATGATTGTCTAGCACCTTAACTTACTCCTTGTCCTCTACCTCTTCTTTTAGGAGGTTAAAGAAAACAACGAGACCTTCTGAGACCCCTCCTTATTGGAGTATAAACCTGCCCCCCCCCTTTTAAAATATTTATTTTTTAGTTGTAGTTGGACACAATATCTTTATTTATTTAGTTTTATGCTGAGGATCACCCCAGGGCCTTGCACGTGCTAGGCGAGTGCTCTACTGCTGAGCCACAACCCCAGTCCCTAAACTTGTCCCTTTTTTAACCCCCCTTCAGGGGCTTCCCTTCTTGTTTCATTTCTACCACTGCCGTAACACACACTCAGTTCTGCTCTCTGTCTGTCTGTCTGACTGTCTTTTTTTCTGTGTTGCCCAGACCTCAAATTCCTTAGCTTAAGTGAGCCCTCTTGACTTGGCCTCCTGGGCGCTGGGACTGTAGGCATGACTACTGTACCCAGCTGAGAAAGCCTTAAACAAACAAACAAAAAACTGTGTATTCTCTCTTCCCTTTAATTATGAAGAAAGGTCTCAGATATTTCTCTTTGGTACCTACTGTATTGTAGAGGCACTGTGTCTATGGAACATCCATGTCCTGCTGCACATGGGTAATTGCATTCTTTCTTGGCTTTCAGCAGGGTTTTCTGAATGCCCAGATGGTTGCCCAACGCAGCAGAGAGCTGCTAACTCACCACTTCCGACAGCAGAGGGTGGCGATGATGATGCAGCAGCAGCAACAGCAGCAGCAACAGCAGCAGCAGCAGCAGCAGCAGCAGCAGACCCAGGCCTTCAGCCCACCCCCAAATGTGACCGCTTCCCCCAGCATGGATGGGGTTTTGGCAGGACCTGCCATGCCCCAAGCTCCACCACAGCAATTTCCATATCCACCAAATTATGGTAATTTTGACAAAGAAAGTGTGCCTTCCCTAGAATAACATGACCAAGCACCTAAAGTTCCCTAGAGGCTTTGCTCAGGAAAAACAAATGCTGTTACTTCCCAAGAAAAGTGAAATTAATTAAAAATAACAGAGAATAAGAATGTTGGCCACAGTTTCCAGTTTACTGAGGCAAATGTGTTCTCTCCTAGTGTTTCCCAGGTCTTGCTTTTTTCGCCTCCCTCTCTCTTCATTTGGGAGAAAGACTACAAAATCCTTCCCCCATCCATTCTCACATGTCCCCGTATAATAGAATCCTGTCATCTCTGAAAGTTTGTCCCAGTCAGTGAGAGGAATGTGCTGTGTGGACTTTTAAGTTCCTTTCCTCAGTGACTTGCCTTTACTAGTAATTGAAATAATGTAGTTACTGCTTTAGTTCAGCCTTTGCAAGGTTCCAGGAACATGGTAGGGGAACAGGTATCTTGGAGGGGTTTACATTTCAGGATGCAGCCCTCCCCTCTGGGGACAGTGGCTTCCCTGACCTCTAAAGGGGGACAGAGTGATGTGAGTAGAGTTTGTGGAGTTCCTTTTATTTAGAGAGGATACTGAAGCAACACCTTTCAAGTGATCTAGATGGTCTGCCTTCTGCAGAGAGCCCATGACTCTGTGGTCATCTTGTTGCAAAGCAAGAATACTTGGAAGGCAGCCTCTTGTAGGGCTCGATATTCTGTACTTACCACCTCCTCCCATACCTTTTCTAAAAATGAACATAAAATTACTATAGAAAATGGGATTCCAAGGAGGTAGCATTTGAACATTGTAATTTTTTCTTTTTCTTTTAAGGAATGGGACAACAACCAGATCCAGCTTTTGGTCGAGTGTCCAGTCCTCCTAATGCAATGATATCATCAAGAATGGGCCCCTCTCAGAATCCCATGATGCAGCATCCTCAGACGGCACTGTATCCGTCCTCAGAAATGAAGGGCTGGCCATCAGGAAATGTGGCCAGGAACAGGTAAACAATAGTGACTTTAAAGTCACTCATATTCTACTTCCAGAAATCCAGGAAATAGCTGGGTGTGGTGACGCCTGCCTGTAATCCCAGCTGCTTGGGAGGCTGAGACAGGAGGATCACGAGTTCAAAGCCAGTCTTAGCACCAGGGAGCCACTAAGCAACTCAGTGAGACCCTGTCTCCAAATAAAATACAAAATAGGGCTGGGGGTGTGGCTTAGTGATCAAGTGCCCCTGAGTTCCATCCCCGGTAACAAAAAAAAAAAAAAAAAAAAAAAAAAAGAAAGAATCCAGGAAATAAACCTCTATTTTTGTCACCCTTGTTTGGATGGAGAGAGCAAAAGGCCTACATTCATATTAAAAAATAGGTTGTCTGTTTTGAGAATCCTTTATAACAGGTAGATATCTATTAAGGTATTGAGGACAGACAACTGTGAAAAATGGAAGGCCAGCTGTTAGCCGTTCTCTCTGTTTGTGCTTAAGTATAGAGATACATGACAAAATCATGATATAATGTGTGTGCCCTGTGTTCTAAAATGACTCTGGATAATGTCATCCTTTCTTTCCAGCTCATTTCCCCAGCAGCAGTTTGCGCACCAGGGGAATCCTGCAGCATACAGCATGGTGCACATGAATGGCAGTAGTGGTCACCTGGGACAGATGAACATGAATTCCATGCCCATGTCTGGCATGCCCATGGGTCCTGATCAGGTATGAAGATCTCTTTCTTACTTTTTTCAAAGTTTTTCTTGTTCTTTGTAGAGAACCAAAGCCTCAACTGTAATCTAAAGGTTCTAGGTAGATAACTTAAAATATTGAAACTGAAACCAGGTAAGTGGCCCACGCCTGTAATCCCAGTGACTCAGAAGGTCGAGGCAGGAGGATTGGAAAGTTTGGGGCCAGCCTTGGCAACTTATCAAGGCCTGTCTCAAAATAAAAAATAAAAAAGGCTGGAGGTGTAGTTCAGTGCTCAGTGGTAGAGCATCCCAGGGTTCAATCCACGAAAACAAAACAAATTAAAAAATGTTTGAATGCCTTGCCAAAATTTTGGCAGTTTAGGTCCAAAGGAGTCTGAATCTTGTCAGTCAGAGCCACATGACAAGCCCTGAGTATAAATATAGGTCTTTCTCATGTTTTGTTGAGCAGATGTTTTACTCATGTTTCCTTCTGGTTGCTGACAGAAATATTGCTGATGTCTCCAAACCTGGACCTCTGAGGAAATCACTGTACAAATGACACTGCACTAGGATAATCCGGAGGTAAAGAATCATTGTCCAGGTGTCCAGCTTTGAAGCAAGGACCAGCTTTGATCTCCGCAGGGCTATTCCAAGTGATGTCACTTGGGCAGGACTGGATCTGAAGCTGAAGTGCGACATCTACCTGTCCCTCCCCCGCTCCCCCACTTCTGTATATCATGGTATTCAAAACAAATGTTTTTAGCATTCTGCCTCCTAGGGATGTGAATCTGGAGATATGGAGTGTTTATTACAGAACTCCTGTGTCACTTCCTTCTGCCTTGCTAGCCAGTCTTTCAAATAGATGTAAGTGGACCAGAGAGCATTGGAGAAACCAGGGACCACCAGAACACCTGGTTTTTTAAATC